CAAGCTTATAAGCCATAAAATATACAAAAATTACGTTAACTATATTTAGGGAGAAAGAAAAAAAGTATATACTATAGCCTCAATGCAATTACCCGACGTTTCAATATAATACGACGACGTGACACAATTACGTGAGTGGGTTACGCGACGTAGCCGGCATAGTGGACCGGAAAATGGTTAGCACAGAGCACAGAGAGACAGAGAAGGCTTTCCCCCTACCCTTCCTCCCTCTTATCCGGAAGGCATTACAATGCTATCTACGGCCGGACAGCTTTTATGGCTATGGCTACGCATTGTTACGCGACGGAACGGACTATGGCTACGTAAGCAAACAACGTGCCCGGGCGAAAGGCAAACAACGGAAAGTGACAAGTGCCACAAAAACGGGCAGCAAATGGCTGCCACTCGCAGCAGCAGTAGCAGCAGCAGCAGCAGTTGCAAATAGCAGTTGTTGCCGTTGCACTTACAACTACAGTCATGGCCAAGGCAATAGAATAGGCAGCTGGAAACAATTGTGGATCTCAAGGGGCGCCGAAAAAAAAGTGTCATGGGTATAAATACAAAGGAAAATATACAAGGTTTGAGCTAGGGCCTATGTAAAGGATACACTGAGAAAAAAAGGGAAATGATATGGGGAGAAAGAAAGCCTTAAAATATTTTCCCTGGAATTAAAATTTCAATTTATTTCTTTTTTTTTCTATTTTCACTAATTATTTCTCTTTAAAGTTTATATATATATATAAAGAAAAATGTAAATAAAATAAAAAAAATTATATTAAAACACTTTTCGTATTGAATTTAAAGCCTTTTTGTCCAAGTTATGGATTTTATAAATTTTGGTTTTTTTCTCAAAAATTAAAAAAAAAATTTTTAACATTAAAAATTGTAAAAAAATTTTTAAAAATATAAAATATAAAAATATTTAAATTCATGATGCAGAATAATTAACCCTTTAAAAACTTATACAAAAAAGCTTTCCGAAATTAAATTTCTTAACTTGTTTTTTATAATTTCCAGACCCCTAAATTTTCCCTCAGTGCAGGCCATTATTTTTCGGCTCTCCCAGTTGTGTTCGGCGCGGTTCGGTCTCCATTTGATGGCGACTCTTTGGTTTTTTTGGTTTGGTTTTCGGTGTGGGCTTGGTGCTTGGGTTTTTTGGGGGTGGGGTCTTGGTCTTCTGGTTCTGGTTCTGGTTCTGGTTCTGGGCTCTGGGCTCCCCTTTTGCCGCCGCTCTGAAAGGCAAAGAAAGGCACAAAGCCGGGCGCCGAGTGCCACTGCCTCTGCCTCAATTTGCATATGGAATTTATGCTTTTGATGGCGGCGCTCGGCGACGACGACGACGACGCTGGCCCAAAGTCAACTGCATGTTAATGAAAGCCAGCAAACAGCAGCATCCCCCAGCATCTCCCAGCATCCTGCAATCGCGACTTTTTCATGCCGCCATGCATTTTTGAAAAGCGAAAAAGTTCAAGGATTGCTGCAGACGTCGTGCTTAGATTCTCGGTGCGGATTTCGGTGCCCCGCAGTGGTGGCCAGGTAACCCCAAAAGGCAACAATCAGCCCAGCAAAGCACGAAGCACAAGCATGAAGCACAAGCATGAAGCAGCAGCAGCAGCAACAGCAGCAGCAACAGCTGAGGCAGCCAAACACAAACAGGCCTCGGGCCAATATCTGAAATGAACTACATAAAAAACTGGGCAAAGCATTCATTCAAACTGTGAGTCAGCCATAAAAATAGCACAAAGAATGCAGGAAGGAAGGGGAAATTCATTACAGGTAATTGTAAAATTTCAAATAAAACAAAAAAATCATTAAATTATACAAAAAATATATAAAATATATTGAATAAGCCCCCTTGCTGCTTTAAAAGGAATTTGTAATTGTTGAAAAAAACACAAAAAGACCTTTATTGAAATTCGTACAAGGCTCTCTCTTGGCTTTGTTTTTTTGTCTTTGAAAAATGCCAAGGAACTTGTCATTGTTAAAACCGCGAGAAATGGCAAAGTTGAAGCCATCGATTCTTGGAGAATTCTCTTGCTGAGAATGTAGAACATTTTAGCAGACGGATGGCTCCCGCATCGTAAGCAGAGCTCTACTTAGTTTGTCTTAACCAGCGTTCTGTATTTCTTTTTTATTTATTTATATATATTTTTTTGTTATTCTGTTCAAGTCGGAGTAGAGTCTTGGCCAGTCACTCTGTCAATGTCCAATCGAGATCAAAGCGGAGGCCCACAGACTGTTTAAAAGTCTAAAGACCAAAGACCCAAGATTTAAGACCACCCCCAATGGGTTGCCTTTCACTTGCAACTTGCAACTGCCAAAGGCACTGAGAGAAAATTTGGAAGAATAATAAGAAAACTATAACTAATATATAAGATTAATTTTTGGATTATTTAAATAATCTAGGGAAAATTTAATGATGGCTAAAATTTATTTTAATTGTTTTTAAACAGAAAAATCAAAGCAAAGTGCAAGGCCACACTGTTATATTCAATGGATACATGGTAACACTGGTAGTTTAAATAATGTGAGCTAAAAAATTCAATTTTCTACAAAAATAAACCCATTTTGATCTCTAAAAAAGAAATTATAGAAGCTGAAGCCATAAAATTCTTCATCTAAAACCTATATATTTTATATTTCTCGCCGTGTAACACCTCAAAAATGTAACGGGCCTGGTTGGGAAGCCATTCGTCACTTGGCGCTCGGCTTGCTCCACGACAAACATCCAATTAAGCTATAAAAATCTTAATTTAATTATTTGCCACACGAACAAAGCCGCAGAACGTAGCTCTGGGATGATGGAAATGGCGGTGGCTATGGCAATGGAGTTTCAACTCGGACTCGGAAGATGCCAGAGATGTGGGGCTGGTGAAGGAGCCAAAGCCACAGAGCATTTGCCATTCACATTCGCAGTCGCATTTGCAGTTTGAAAACGAGTGCAGCAGCAGCAGCGGCGGCGATGACGACAACGATTTATGGTGGCCGGTTTTTCTTCATTTAGGCGCTGCTCCAAGCAATAGCAGAAAGCAAAAAAGCATAAAAAAGCATAAAAAGCAACAACGCCGGGGAAGCAAAAGTAGAAAAAAATCAAGCACGAGCTAGCAACAAGGCAGCAGGCAGCAGGCGGCAGGCAGCGCATACATTTTTCATGAATTAGTTCACATATAAAAGTCAAATGCAGCCAGCGGAGTTGGAAAACGGCCGTAAGGAGATGTTGGGAGGGAAGGGAAACACAACTGGAGTTGGCCGGCGGCACATAAACAGATTTTGTGGTCGTCGCACATTCAGAGAGAGAGAAAAAAAAAAAACCCTGAACAAAACAATGCACAACAGCACACAACAAGAAATGGCTAAAATTTGTAGAAAAAAAAATAGAGGGAAATTGAAAGGAGTTGTTTGGGTCTAAAAACAGAACAAGCAGGCGATACTGACCAACAATAGGGGACATGGAAATAGGAAAATAGTAGAAAATTATTAAAAAAACAACCTAAATTTGACTTTATTCTGTAAAGCAAGGCCACACTGCGTTCAATGAACCGCTTGGTCATACTGGCTTTGGGTTAATTTGTTTTATTTCAAATGTATTTTAAGTAAAAAGAACAAACAAACAATAAAGAAAAAATATTCAAAATTACCAAAACCAACCTAGTTTAAAATTTATTCCCTGCCTTAAGGCCACACTATTTTTTAACCTATTGGTAACCCTATTTCCTGGGGAATGCTCACCCTGCCTTTTGGTTAATTTACTTCATTTAAATGCTAAATTAATCATGACAAGCACAATAATTTATATGCGTTATCCTTGTCACTTTTTGGCCAAAACAGCGTCCGTTTCAGCGTGCACTTCCTCATACCTGGTGCGCACCTGCTGCTGCTGTTGATTTTTCGCTGCATAATTAATGAAACGAAAGCAGAGTGGCGTTCGTTATCTGTACTCACACACACACACACAGAGAGAAGAACCCCTTTGGGACATTTTGTTTAGGCCATAAATTAGATGATGCATGGACTTCAGTCGCTGCTGCAGCAGCACCTTTTTGCTGTGGAAATATACAGATGATAATGCGAATCGCCTCGAGGGGGGATAAGGAATCTTAAACGTTGCGAAATCGAAATCAAAGCGAACCGCCTCTGTTTGACCCAAAAACGAGAAAACGAAAACCAACCTGTGTGTGTGGGATATATATCCTCACTCTGTGCTCGACAAGAGCAAAAAACCAACCGAAAAGCTCAGTCAGCAGGATAAAGCGAAAACGTTTAATGCCCAGCTTGTTGTTCCTTGTTTGTTGTTTGTTGTTAGCCATCGTTGTTGCTCGTTGTTGCTGTTGCTGTTATGCCCGTTGGCCATTTTATGGAGCCTGCCCACTTGATACAACCAAACAACACCCAGAGAGGACCCGAGAGGACGGACAACAACGATGGCAGAAAAGTGGGCGAAAAAGCAAAGACTGAAAGCAGCATTTTGTTTAATTCTAGGGAAAGCTACCGGGGGCGGGGGAGGGGAGGAGATGAGTGCACAGTGAACGGAACATTGAACAAGTTAAAATATAATAAATAGGCTTAAACACACAACACAACACAGCATATGTGTATGTGAGTGTGTTTGGAAAAACAATCCAAAGGAAACTGGAACATACGGGATATCAGGCACAAAAAACGAGTGCAACTTTTAAAGCTGACAATGGGATTTTATTTTTGCAAAAAACAAAAAAGCCAATTAAGCGTAGAGTTGAGGTAAGTGAATCACCCAGAAATAGATCAAGGTTTTACTCTTAAAAACTAGGCTAAATAAATAGTGTTTTTAAGCCTTAAATATCTCAAGAGATAACTTTATTTAATACGCTTAGCCTTGACTGGGTTATCTTTTGTTTTGTTGAGAAATCTTTTCTTCAGAAAGGGGAATATTTTTTGGACAACCTGTCAGCGACACACACACACACCCCAAATTATACCCAATTTCAATCCCAGCCCAAAAGCTGTCTCATAAGCTCACTCACCTGATGGTCGCCAGGTGGACTTGCGACCGTCTCAAGTTCCTAAGAGTCCTGGACGTTGTTGCTTTTCCTTCTGCTGCTGGAACACACACAGGTTCGATGTAGCTGCAAGTAAAGGAGAGGGAAAAGTCTGGTTGAAAATCCATGTAGACTGTAGCTTTAAAGGGAGACTTTAATTTAAGGCTCGCAGACCACTGTCCGGCCTCTGGCTTGAGGTCTACCTCTAAGATCATTAATTACGTTTTGTCTGGGAGAAATAAATAAAAAATTGAAAATATGCTGGAAAATATTAAGAGCAAGCTTGGGGAAAATCTTAAATATATACGACTTATATAAAGTTATATATAAACTCTCTGGAATATGGTTCAAGGCCCACTTTTGGCGGAAAGTGAAAGTGTAGTATTAAAAACAATTGTAAAAGTGTGGGTTTTTCCCTGAATTTTCCGCTTAGCCAAGGTCGCCGCGAGCTGGATTACATATATATCTATATATATTTATATATAAAGTATACCTTTTTTTTTGGGTTGGCACTTGAAAGGTGCAGCTTACCAGCATTGCTCTTGTATTATATCATCTTGTGGAAGGTATTATTATTACCAAAAACCCAAAAGGTGTGAGCTTTATTTATCTTCTTTTTGTTTTGTTTATCAAATATTTTCTCGTTTGCTTATTATTACAAGTTTAGGTTGCTTCACTCTGCTTGTGTTGATTGCAGAAGATCAATTAACATTGACATAAATTGAATTTGTATGGCAAATTATATAAATGAGCTCGCAGAAGCTTTATTATCAGGCATAATTGTGGCCTTTGTTGGGTTGACGATGGTAATAATGGGAGATAAGTTTGGGTATGGAAAGACCTTATTTTGATGTAGAAATAAATGTAAATTATAAAAATCTACAGATTATTTGGGCTACAATAAATATTTAAATATTTCAAATTGTAGATATTTAAATTATTTATATTTTCTTAGTTAACCCAAAGTTCTGAGAGATTAGTTAAATATTTTGGGTATTTTCTTACTTTTCATCATTATTTTTAAATTTTATAACAATTATTTATAATTTTCCCAATTGTTAAGAGATTTTTCTTTATATTTTCCTACCTAAAATCGCCATGTAGATCGCCATGTGATAGCACTTAGGTAAGATCACACACATATTTAGCACAAACACACACACACACGTACTCGCCACTACCTAAACCCAAGGCCGGCACCCGCCACTTCATTCCGAAGATGCTAGAACCAGTTGGGAATTACAAGTGCATAAGTGGGAACATTTTTTGCAAAACAAATTTTTGGTTAAATTGCCCAAAGTTTTTATAAAAAATTGACCAGCAAAGTAAATACAATTCGCCGTTATAAAAAGGCACCAAATAAAGCCACTTAAAAAACAAAAGTTCTACATTAAAAAAAAAAAAAAAAAAATATTATAAATATAAATTATTATTACTGGATTTTTAGATGCTTTTACCTTTAAATCTTGGAAACTGTTTTCTTATTTTTTAGGAAAATTCTTCTTAAATATAGATACATTTTTTGATGAGTGTTACAAACCCTAGGCAGCATTAATCCAACCCATATAGAAGCTCTCAAATACCCTATCAATATGGTGGCTTAACCCTATACAGGACACTGATTTATTTGGCCAGATGGAACTTAATTGAAAGATTCCTGCTGGCTGGTCTCTACATTTTTCCCGCTTTCCCAGAGCTCTCAGCTGGCTGTCCGCTTTGATTAATGATTGTTGACAAGTGCAACAATCCTCCTTACCCCTCCCTTCCCCCCAGAAGAGAGAGAGCCACAACAAAATGTCCATCAAGCAGGAGGGAAAGGAGGATGGGGAAGCTGCGCTAAGCTGGATTGCAGATTGCTCATACGCAGCGTGGCCCCTCTTGAGCCAAAATTAAGTTGCTTGCGGTGGCTGTTGCTGCTGCTGTTGCTGCTGCTTTTGTTAGTTTTTAAACAGTTGACAGGGGCAAAAAGGAGACAAGCAGAGAGACAAGGCTAGGGCCCAGCTTCCAGCTCCATGATTTATGTCGTTTTATTTAATTTTAATTGAAAAACTTGCACACGACGACAACGACAAACAACCGAAAAAAAAAAACGAGAAACCCTGAAAAGCAGGCATTCGGCATTTGGCATTCGTTTGCTCCTACCAGACCCCAGACCCGAAATATAATTAAAATGGCATTTCAAATGCTATATAGAGTATATATATATAGCTACCACCCCTTTTTGCCATCTTGCCTTGGCACAATCTGCATTGCCAGGACTTGGAAATGCAAATAAATAACAAGACAAAGGCTCAAATGCAAATAGAATGACTTTATTAAATGGCCACGTCGGCGAAGGAGGCTCAGACAGCGAGACAGAGAGAGAGAGTTGTTTATAAACTTCACAGTTGGCAAATAATAAAGACACCAAAGGGATATTCCAGAGGGACATGGCCAGGCGTGGCCACAAAGCGACTAAAAGCCGTGTCTAACAAGCCACGCGACCTTTTCTTACCACTTGTATAATTTTTTATTTTTTCTTTGCTTTTATTTATGTTTTTCTTTCATTTTTTTTGTTTTTTTGTGCGATTTTTTATATGACAAATGCAAATGACGCACTCGAAAGGGGGAGGCTTTTGGGGGGAGGCAAGGTGGGGGACTTAATATGAACTACAGGAGTGGGCGCAGTCTATGAACAAGACATTACAACAGTCATAATAAAAGTACCACAACAACAAAAAAAAAAAGTCAAAAGGTGGACATTGGAGCAAACTTGTTTTGAATAATTGTAAAATGTATTTTAAAAATGTAAATATAATAAAATAAAATTTAAAAATTAATTTACAATATAAATATAAATATTTAAATATTTTTAAAATTATGATTAAATATTTTAAAATTTATTTAAAAATTAAAAGCAAAAAAGGAAACCCCAAAAATTTCTTTAAATAATTCCTTGTAAAATAATTTTATTATTATAATTATTATTAAATATTTTTAAAATTTTTAAATTTATTTAAAAATTAAAAGCAAAACAAGTAATATTTTAAAAAATTTATTTAAATATTTGAAATAATTTAAAACTTATTTAAAAATGAAAAGCACGTCGAGGAAACCCCACAAATATCCTTAAAAATGTCCTCGTCAAATTCCCACTTTTCTAAAGGATAAAGTTTTCTCCAAATTTGTTTCAAATTTTTTTAAAAATTATGTTTAAATAATTTAAATATTAAAAAGGGATAAAAAAAAATGAAAAGCAAATCAAGGAAACCCCACAAATTACCCTAAATAATTCCCCTTTTCTTTAGATTTTTTTAAGGACTTTTCTTGTCACTTAACCCACAGTGCAGTGGGGAAAAAAAACACCCTACCAAGGGGGGGAGAATGGGCAAAAAAGCTGAAAAACTGCCGCCAACGCCATAAATCATGCGGCCAACAGCAGCAGCAGCCGAGAGCCAACAGCCGAGAGCCGAGAGCCAAGAGCCAGCCGGCAGCAACAATATCTGACAACCAGCAACAGCAGCACAAATGTAACAAAAAAAAAAAAAAAAAAGTAGAATATGGTATAAATACAACAACAAAAAAGGGGGAAATTAAATAACAATAACAAGGTTAGCTCTCACTCTTTCTGCTGGCTGCTGCGATAAGGTTGCTGCAACAGCAAATTGAGTGTTTTTATTGCATTAACATAAATAAATTAGAATGTGCAAAGAGAGAGAGAGAGAGAGTGCTTAATATTTCTAGCAGTGCAGCTTTTGCAATGCCATTTTCTAGCACGTTTTCACAGTGTCCAGTGTCTGGTGGCAACATCTGGGCCTGGCTGTACACAGCAACTTGCCACGTGCCGCATTCAAACGAGAACGTTTTCAGGGACATCAGAAGTTAATCTTTTTGGGGGAAGAAGGCGGAGACTGCACAGGTGAGCTCTGTGAGCTCTGAGCTCCAACTGCTGTGGCAATATCCCGACTTGTCCTTTGATATGCGTGCGGAAATTGTAATGACAGCTGCTGCTGTTGCTGCTGCTGCTGCTGCTACTGCTGTTGCTTCTTGTGGCTTCTCTTGGCCGCAAAATTGTTGCCTTTGTGCGGGTCAGCAACGACAGGCAACAAAAGCTTTAAGCTGTTGTCTCTTACACCCTCCTCCCCCCCGAGTGTGTAGTGTCAATAAAATGAAATTAAAAACTTTAAACAGCGACAGGCGAGTGGAGAGACAATTTAATCAAGCCACTGCAAATGAATGCCCAAAGCAGCGGAAGAAGCTGCTGCATTTGCATGCAGCCACAACCAGTAGAAGAAAACAATCAAAAAGTTTTTAAAACAAATTAAAACTCGACGACAAGAAAGCCTTGGCCTGTGCGGTCAAATTCTATAGGAAAACCTGAGGAAATGTTTCGGGAGGGGGGGGCGCTTTTCTTCATTAACGCTTAGAAAAATAAATAAATAGAAAAGTTTTCGGGGGAAAACTTTGCCTTAAATCAAGTGTCTATGCTTAACCATTTACCTAATTTTGTTGCCAACCATTTAAATAGTTAAATAAAAGTTTCTCTCGGGTTTAATTATAACTTGTTGAGTGTATAAATAAATAGAAATAAAGTTACGTTAATTTTTCAATTGCTGATTTAAATTAAAAGAAAGGGAGAAGGTTTTAGCTGTTAGTCAAGGCATTTTATACAAAAATACTTGTAAATGTTCTTGAAAAAGTTCAAATCTTAATTAAATTTCAATAAAATCCTTCAAATTCACTTCTCTTTTACAATAAATACATCTTCCCTGGACTCTTCTCATTTATTCATACATTTTCCCTGAATATATTAAGTTTTCTGCTGGAAACTCTTCTTAATTTAAATGCACATTCTCAAGAATGTTCACGGTTAATCGCAATTCCAATTGAAATGGCAATTGAATGGCAATAAAAATAAAAAAAAAGAATAAAAAATATAACAAAAAAATACAGAAAAACGCAATCAAATGCGATGAAAAACTTTTGCAACTCGAACAAGTTGAATGGCACAAAGGAGGGAAAATTGCTCAGCTGCAATGGCAAGCAAACTTTAATCGAATTCATGACAAATGATGTGCGAATTTTCATGAAAAACTAAAAGGGAAAAA